TACGAATCGCATAAAATTGTAATAATCCGCCTGTTCGCATCAAATTCCATACACTTGTACATGTTCTACAAGTACAAGTACAAGTAGATGCACTAGGAAGTTGTAGGTTTACGACTCCCTTGATAACATGTCCAGTCCACTACAATCAGTGATGGCCGTAGCTAGGTCGGACGGTGCGTTGAGCCCGTTGAACTTTTGCTACTACAGTACAACGCCCTCTACAAAAAAATTCCCTTGTTATTTTGCACAGAACCATTATGCATTAGCAGCATATGTGAGCATAATGCGGCATAATATGATAACTTTTAGCATAAAAATAGCAGTGCATAAAAATAGCATAATTCTGCCATTTTTTCAGCAATGCGATAAGCATAATTTCACGAAATTATTAGCATAATCCGTCAAGGCCTAGTCCAACTTCAGATTCCAATCGCCATACATGTCTTCTCCCTTTTCTGGGAATGTAAAGCACTTACCTGCATTGTAATTTGAAACTCGGGTATTGAGCCAATAATAAAAGTAGAAAGGAAAAGGACATATGGAAACGAGTTTTAGAGTAACTCTCCGCCACTGTAACTAGATACAGTCGTCCCTCTCTAACCCGGCACTTGTTTATCCAGCACCCTTGCAAACCAGCACACTTTCTGGCAAAACGGATTTTTTTCAGTTCATTTTCTACACTTTAATCCGGCACTTGAATTCCGCCTCCAGCAGCGATTTTCTGCAACAAATCACTCAAACTGTACATAATTCGATTTTCTAATCCAGCAGTTGTACATCGCATACTGTCGGGGACCATTGTAACATACACAACACATGTAACATACACTTGGGAATATCCTATGCTAGTGCATAAGATATTCCCAAGTGTATGTTATAGACATGCATCTCCGTAGCGCTAACCGACAGCCTTCCAACTTGGAAGGTTCAAGGTTATGGAAAGACCAAAGAGGGGAAGGCAAGCGCAACGAAAACGAGCAAAAGCTACAGTCCCAACGGAACAAAGAATGTCGATTGTTACTGGACGATGACGAGACCAGTACGATATTTGACCAAGCCGATATTTGAACCTTCCAAGTTGGAAGGCTGTCGGTTAGCGCTACGGAGATGTGTTGAAGCTAGGTGTCAGGACGTCGAATGTTTCAGTACTCTGTCAGTTTTGTGCCTAGTTATTGCACTTTCTGACTGTATATAGTATCATGTTACAGTGATGGAGAGTTACTCTTAACTCGTATCCATATGTCCTTTTCTCTTCTACATTTATTTATGGCTCAACATCCGAGTTTCAAATAGGTTATTATTATTATTATTTATTAAATTTTTAATAGGGCATTCCGGTTGAAAATCATTTTTTTGAGAAAAATAATGTTTTGTAAAAAGGTTGTGTCGCGTGGACGCTCGAGTGGAGTGAAGTGGAACCAAAGAGAATCTCGCTTGTTTGAAGAAGTAGCAGTCATGGCAGGAAGGGTTTCAGCAGTCAGGGAACTCAAAGGGCTTCCGGTAGAATATTCCCTGCTACTCCTCTACTAGGCTCTAGTCACAACGAAGAGTTTTTGAGCTGATCGAACGGATTCCATCTCCTACACTCAGGGACGGCGAAATTTCTGCGCTAGCTGCTGCTTGCGGATAATGGTGAAGAAATCGTCTCCAGTTAGAGTCGGGATGGCGATAGCGAGGAGAACCTGGACGACATCGATCCAGCCAATCGAAGTACGGCGATACTAGCTGTTTCTGGGCCTCACACAAAGGGAACACGCGCAGCAGAGCTCATACGTTTGCAGCAAGTTCACGAGGAAAAAGGCTTGAAGCGCAGTGTGAAAACTGTTTTGAATTGAAGTCCTTGGCGATGAAGTGCCACTGAATGCCAGGCGAATGAGCGAGCAGATCGAGAGGCCTACACTCGAGACTTTCCTCGCTGGCCAGCTAGCTGCAAGGGCCCGGATTGTGTGGAGCAATAGCAGCATAAAATTAGCATTATGATCTTGATTTTCTAGCATTTTCCATGCCGTCTACGTAGAACTACGAAACGTGCACAATACTGCCCAAACCAAGGCATTTTTCCATACTTACTACTGGTGAATTGCTGGCATCACAGAGGAACAGCAGCATTATAAGTAGCATTATGATACAGTTTTTCTGGCATTGCCATTAGCATTATCCCGCAAAATAACTAGCATTATCCGCCCAGGCCTACTGTTGACAGATTAATTTTCATCCACTAGCAATCCTTGAAGTGATATCTATCAACTTCAGAACATTGATGACCGAATATCCCAGTTTGTGATGCCATTTTACAAATTTGTTAAAAAAATGACACACCAATTATTTGAATCCTGAGAATACTATGAAAGTAGGATATGATTCAAGACACTTTCCAAAGTGGACTCATTCCCATTTTTGGACACAACGGGCATGAAGGATAGCACTTCCACTTGCAACAATTCATTTGGACGTAGCTTGTCTAGAAGTGACTGAAAAAACGTCACTTTACAACCATGTCAAAAAATGCCAAATTACCTCGTACTTGGTTGGACACAGAAAATCCCTATGTTTTGACGTACGACACAAACATATATGATAACATGTGGGCCGGGTTGGAGGGCAGGAGTTGACAATCCAGCACCCTTGTTTATCCAGCAGAAAATGCCGTTGCAAAAGGTGCCGGATTAGAGAGGGACGACTGTACAAGATACAGTCAGAAAGTGCAATAACTAGGCGCAAAACTGACAGAGTACTGAGACATTCGACGTCCTGTCATCTAGCTTCAACACATCTCCGTAGCGCTAACCGACAGCCTTCCAACTTGGAAGGGTCAAGGTTATGGAAAGACTAAAGAGGGGAAGGCAAGCGCAACGAAAACGAGCACAAGCTAAAGTCCCAAGGGAACAAAGAATGTCGAATGTTACTGGACTCCACTCGCGACGCTTAGAATCCTCATGTTGCTAAAAGAGAGCGCTGAGAGATTTGGATAGGGTCCGGCAGATTCTGCGGGCAGAAAAATTAGCAGAATTCGGTACTTTTTCTGGTAAGTTTCATGCATATTTGGTATGTGGATAAAGAAATGGAGCAGAATTCGAGGAATTGCCCACCATAAGGTTTGTATGGTTCTGCTAATTTCACTGCTCTTCGAGCAGAATCTGCCACCTTTTCGAGCAGAATCCGCCGGTCCCTAGATTTGGAGCGATAGGAAGGGGCATCTGGGCAAAAACCCTTACATCAAAAAATAGCCTCCTCCCCACGGCTCCAAAACCCCCCAGGGCTCACATCGAGTCTGGCCTCCTTACTAACGTTCGCTGTTCAAAAACGAAAACGCTCGCCAGCTAGAGGTGCGAGCGTCGGTTCCGTACCAACCGCGGAAAAAACCATTGTGAGCTCTTCCGCCAGGAGATCACGAACTTCATGATGCCGTGGGGTAGGAACCCCCCCCCCCCCTCCCCGACTACAACAAAGTTGGTGCTCGACCGAAAACTCATGTCCGTATATACAGGACTCAGGCGTATCCTTGATCCTGGTTTCAGTGGTCCTCTTGGACAGGTGGTCGCCTTATACGAGTGGTCGCCTTGACAGGTTTTACTGTAGGTGGAAACAGAGCCTTGCTGTCTGAAGTAGGGACCGGCGGATTCTGCTCGAAAAGGTGGCAGATTCTGCTCGAACAGCAGTGAAATTGGCAGAACCATAAAAACCTTATGGCGGGCAATTCCTCGAATTCTGCTCCATTTTTTTTTATCCACATGCTAAACATGCATGAAACTTACCAGAAAAAGTAAAGAATTCTGCCAATTTTTCTGCCGGCAGAATCCGCCGGACCCTAGTCTGGAGAAATGTGCACTGACGTTAGTGCTGTTCGTGCTGTTGTCTTTATTATCAAACCCTCCAGTTCCACAGTGCAACATGGTTACAGTATTGTTCCCAAAAGCAGGTGACCCACATCTATCGCTCCTGAGGACCTGGAATTCACATTAATATTCTCTGGGGCTGTTTCTACTCCTCACGCCCAATCCCAGGGATTGGGCCTTTTCGCTGGTCTTCCCGTTTTACTTGGGATTTGCGACAGAGCTATGATCTCATTACAGCGTACCCTAGGTGGTGTTTTGAATGTACAGTAAAACCTGGTTTAAGCGACCTCTGGGTTTGCCGACCACCTGCTCTTAACGACCGTTTTTCCATGCACCGACAGTTCTACACAGACACTGTGGGACCTGGCTCTAAAGGCCACCTGGCTTTAACGACAGCGTTTGCTTGCACCGTGCGGTGGTCGCTTAGACCAGGTTTTACTGTATTTTAATGTACCAGAGAGTGTAATGCGGATATCGGAGGACAGGGTGTTAGAGCGATCACTGGGTAACATGTCGGCCCAGCGGCAGGGAAAACCAGCAATCCGTCCGTGAGGGCAATTTAGGATGTGTATTGAACGGGATATCGAGCATGCGATGAGCCAAGTCAATGCCTGTATTCTATTGTAATGAATTTATTTTACTTGGGTGGCTCAACGGCACAATGTACTACGTGTACTACCAAGAGCCCCAAAAACCGATCATAATAATTATGATTGTAGAGATGGCAAAAAGATTGCATTTAACCTACTGACCTGCGGCTACCAATTGATGGATGACGGTTTTGGACTGAGGTGTTCTCGCACCGTGATCTGCTCTGCAATGTCATGACACCGATAGCTTTTAAAATTATTCAAAAATGATATAAGCGGCTCCCTTTGTAGATCCGGGACTCATTTAGCGTACGACGTCACGTGTCCTGCTGATATGCAAGCACATCAATGCATGCATGCGGACTCGGTTGCATTTTCTATCTTTTCCTCGACGCGCTGAGTTTTAAGATCCCAAGAGAAGTTAGTCGTGCGAAAGCGCTCTGGGAACTTGGCACAATATCGCAACTCGTAATATGTGGCTTAATTTAACATGAAGGCCCCCTAATCTCATCAATAGTTTGAATGTTGTTGTTGTTTTTGCTGTTGTTGTCACAATTAGTAGACGATAAGGAGATAAGGAGATAGTATGTACAAATCTGGGAGGTAGGTTATAGGCTCATTGATCGACACCAATCGGATATTGATGTGAAAGTAGGGAAATTTGTCCAAGATAAAACAGTGTTTGTGATAATTATGACAGTGCTGAATCAACAAGATTGGCAGTTTTTCACAATTAGGTTGGTGGAACGGAGACTGTGCTGTCTATGATTATGTGCAAAAAACTACATGTTGAACAAAGCATGCATTTTTGCCTAATAGTAGTCTCTCGCGAAACGCTACAGGTAGTAGGTTCGCAAGCAGAAATCATAATAAGACATATGCCATGATCCACCATTAGATATTTCAATAAGTGAAAGGCAAGGAATGTTCATTCTGACATGTTCAATCAAACAGGAATGATGTGAGGGTAATCAGAGCATAGGGCTACCTTGCCCATGGTCAAGCAGCTTTGCGTGCACACTGCTAGCAGGAAACCGTTCATCTTCAGCACGTGGTGGTTCGAAGGGAATGAAAAACAGCAGGCGGGCATTGCATGATGCTAACCATGGTGATGGGTGAACTACTGATCTTCATGCTCACCGTATCTCATGTCATAATAAAACATAATCATCATTATCGTCATAACGCAATCGTCTGGTGTCCTCCACATAGACTGAGCCGCGACACACGTGACGTCACTAGGGATAGTGTCCGTACGGAGGTGGGTGCGTCAGCTTTGGAGCAGAAGGTGACGATTGGGTGCGCGGGACACCTGGAAAGATCTGCTGATGCGAGTGCTGCTGCTGCTGTTGCTGGTGTGACTGTATACCTGTGGGGCCTGGGGGTGGATCGTGAAGTTGCATGAGGTGGCCATGAGATGGTGGACTGCCGATGTGGCCTGGTGGAAGAGGTTGCTGCTGACCCAGTGCTTGTGTGGGAAGAGTCAGGTTTGGCGGTGCCATGCTCTTGTTCATCTGTTGGCCAAATAGTCCCCCGGATCGATCACCACCCTCGTGGGGCAGGTCTCCCAGGACATTACTGGGAGTCGGGCGGTTCGGAGTGTGGCCCGGGTGGCTTAGGGGCGAAAAGTCCTGGCCTGGATGGTTCGTGATCATAGCCTGAGATTGAATAAGTCCAGTGGATGGCAATTGGAACGCACTGGGTGCAGGATCCTTGGCAACGCAGGACACACAACCCGTGGAGAACAAGCTACTGCTACTGGTGTCACTTGGCTGGTGACTGATTGATGGCATTGAACTAGACGTTGGTAGCAGGGGCGATGATTGGAGGCCGTGGTGGTGATCTTGCGAAAATCCTGGCCGTGTCTGCGACATCTGGTGTTGAAGCTGCTGCTGCTGCTGGTGTTGCTGCCGTTGTATCTGTTGCTGCTGCTGACTATGATGCTGCTGTTGGTGGCGATGAAGAAGATCGTGTCGCTCAAGGCTTGCGTGTGGCTGGTTGCTGCCGAAGTCCTGCCCGAACGCCATGGTTCCTTGCTGTTCCGACGGACGATGGTAGGACATTGGATAGGAGCTAGGTGGTATAACCATACCCAGATGCTCATCTACTCTGGGGTAACCCTGAAGGTCAAGCAGAGAAATGAAAAAAACACGTACATATCGTCGTTACGTTTTCAGACTCTATGAACAGACACAACCTCTGATTTCAAACGTTTTCTCAGGATGTAGATAACACAATAATTATATTTTCGAGCTAGATCTCTTGACTACTGATCAATCAGACGGCAAGTAGCAAATCCTGCAATTGTCCAATGCAATCCACGTATTTTTTTCTTTTGAGCCACAGACTCCACCAACCTGAAGAGAGGCGATATCAGCTTCTTCTTTGACGCCACACATCAACTCCGTCTCTTCGTATCCTGTGTGCGACTGCCGCAGACTAGCCGCTACTTTCGGGTCGACTGGGACACGGCTGTCTCCTGCTGGTGTTGCAGCCATCCTGGGATCTGCTAAAGTTGGTCTGTCACTGCCTATACCGTAGTCAAATGGCGGACTGCTTGGTTCGTTGGGAGCATTCAGACAAGCCTGAATTAGAGATTTGCCGCCCTCTGACGTAATCATCGGCTGCAACTTTGTGGTGGCGAAAGTGTAGACATGTCCAGTCTCCGACGCCACGAGCAGCATAACCTGAGTGCCAGTCAAGGTGCTCAGTTCGTATGCCTGCGGACAGAAGGAGCAGAAGGGGGTGAACATGGGGACTGTGGTCAGATATCTTAACATTAGAACTTGTGATTATGTGAGCAATGAGTGTCGCATCGCAAGACATTGCACACCTGCCAATCATCCCGATTTGGCCGGGACTGTCCCTATATCGAGGGTGGTGAAAGGCACCCAAAGGTGCCATAGTCGCATGCTTCACAGGCACATTTGTATGCCTTTTTTATGCCTACATGTAGGTATGTCATTGTCCCGATCTCAGGTTTGCAAAGGTTGGCAGGTAAGCATAATGGGATCCCTTCTGCCCGGAATGACAGTACTCAAGTACATGTACATATATTACAGACACACATGTACATGTACATATATTACAGACATACATGTGTACATGTACATGTACACATGTAGAACTCACGCATGTACATGTGCATGTAGGTTTTTTTACGATAAACTACGAACTGCGAGAACAGAATAGTATGAAAGAAAAGAAACAATATCTTTTTTTTGTCGGAACAGTGTTTGGATTACGTGACCAGCAGGCACCTGATGGATGAATTCAACGTTAGGATGTTACGGGGGAGAGGATAAAGACCATTTGGAGTGAACAGAGGAAATTTTCGAAAGTGAACGAACTGACGAAGGATGAGGGAGCTAAGTATTAACAGACTCCATTCGTACAAACTACAGGAATTTAATCTGATCCTGACGTGGCGGCTCGCAGAGCGAAGTCTCCAGAAACCCACACAGGTGTTGTGAAGACGCTCCTCTACTCCAATAGTCGCCGATATTGTCCTCAACATGCTCTAGGTGTCCTCCACTCCTGTCACCACCTGGCCACTTCAGGCTCCCAAGCTTCTACATCTACTAGATTTAGATCTACATGTATTACAATAGGAATACGAGCATATCCCCTAGTTGTGTATCTTGTAACAAATAATGAATTTCTAACACAATCATGCACCGCTTCCTACATGTACTTTCGTCATCATGATGTCATCATTTTGTCATCATTATGTCGCTTCTTGTGTAACTGGAAGTCTCCATCAGTCAGAACTGCGAAGGTACCTACATGTAACGTTCCTGCTAATCAAACTACATGTACTGGTATCCGGCGAATAGACGATCAGATCTGGTATACGCAAGACAGCATCAACTCTTCGCGTATCCTTAGCCTTAGGTTAGACTAAGCTCTCTTGAAATTCGAAAACCCCTGTACATGTACTTCGAAGTGCATGTACATGTACGTGTACATTTATATGCAGTGGGGATGATATCTGAAGGGAATTTCCCCTGTGCTTCTAGGCGAACAAATACATTTTGTGCTTGGGCATTCCAGGCCTGCATGTTTAATGTTGATGGCATTGCGGCATGTACATGACTTTGTATGCATTTGCATTCGGTTGAAAGTTGCTACAATTGGAGAAGTGCTGCTTTGCAAATACATGACATGTACATGTACATGTACACGTGTGACTGCGCCAGGCGGGTCGTGACATGTACATGTACAATGTAGATGAGAACGCTATTAGCGTTCCACTTGCTACGCGTACGGCGGCATCCCACCACACGACACTTCGCTTCAGTGTCCCAATCTGTTCGCCGCGGAAATGCACATAATTATGTTATAGGGACCCAAGCTGCGTCGTTATTGAAATTGATGATTTTCCCCAAAATTTCTGTCGACCACAAGGCGAGTTTCCCGTGTACACGGAGATAACCACATTCAAAGTCACCACGGTTCGGTGGAGTTCACATCACCATGTTAATACCGACGCACCCAGGTTGCCCATCACAACAGACTTACTGTCATTGTAGGTGCCTGTATAGGAATATCCCATGCACCTCTGCCTGCACAGGCAAATTTCCTTTGCCAACACCATTGTCCAACATCACGTCATCGGTCGTCACTCTATATCCTCCCTTCGTTTAACTAGTATAATATAGATTACTATAGGTAGTCGGCTTAAGAGCTCATACAGAGGAGGAACTCCGGTTATGAATGCACGAGACACCATAAATGACAATGTTCTCTCTAGTCTCCAGTCACCATTACACCATAAGAAGAGAGCAGGAAGTCAACGCATGTTGTTGCCAATCACTACAGAAATTCTTGAGAGAAAGGAGTTCGACGTTGCTCACGTCGCCCATGGCAAGCACTGTCCACCAACACACCGCCCTGTTGTTTGCTGGCTTTCAGGATAGCAACAGCACGACCAGCGTGTCCTTGTTTAGACGATAGTGTGTAGAGTCGTAAACAACATGAGTGTGCACTGTGTGTGCATGTGCGCAAGTGGACAGCATCCGTATGCACTGCCACTGCTACCAGTGCCCTATACTAGAACGTACACGAATCGCCCGTCGGACCTGCCAAATTTGGCGAATTCCTGCGCTGAAACCTCCTCGCGCCTTTTCAGCGAGGCTAGAGCGCTTGGCCCGTTGACGTCACCGTACCTCACGTGCTAGAACTCGGAACACGGAAAGTGGGTAAGTGCTTAGACATGGATTTAATAGGGAACGGTATCACACTGTTTATTTTGATACACAGGGGTCAGGGGTGTAGCGATGGCAGCAGCAATCTTGCCCAGCAACTCACTTCAACTTACATCGTAGTTTTGCCTGATAACCCTGGCCCTACATCATGGGTCATGTCGTCTTGCTTGTCAGTCATAGGCATCTTCACGAACTTACATGTACACATTAAGTTAGTTAGTTGAACATCGCATGTCCTGGACGATTTTGGTGTTACACGTTGCCGTGTATGAAGTAGAGGTGCGTGGCACGTGCAGGAACAGACCATGGAGTACGGCAACTGAACACTCTAGACCACAAATTGTCGCGGAATGCTTAGAGGTGCTCTTGAGGCTCTGGTAAACATTACACCCCACTGAGTCGAGTCCTTCAAGTGTGAGAGAAGTGCCCTCTGCCGATCGCAGCCTCTGAACTAATATGACTCGCCGCTGTTCAATTGTCCACCAGCACTTCATGCTAGAGGATCACTTCCAGACAGCCCGAGCACGGGGAAGAGAAAGAATTTCCAAATTTGGAACGCGACTAGTGCGATGTGTTCATGCGCTGTTGGGGCGACTCCCGGGGAGCAGGTTTGAAGGGTTGGAAATGCAACCACTTCAATACTCCAGAGAGAAAGTGCAGTGAGTGCTTCGTAGTGTCAGGCAATTCTCACTCTAGTTTAAAGTGGCTGTGAAAACAATACAGACCGGAAGCTAGGCATTGTTCAACGACGGTACTACTGCGGCTAGAGAGAGAGTGATAGCACTCACAAATTTGAGCACTGTGTGATGGTCTGATTTGGTACAGAGTCGCACTGTGGGCATGTTGGTGACGCTACGCTGGCAACCTGTAATCTCCATCTCCATCAGTGTAGGCATCAGTGTAGGCCAAACCTTTTTTTCTGGGGGCAGTGTGGGTTAGTTGTCCTGCATACTGATTATACTCGCCACCTCATGCCACTCATCTGCGTGCAACTCCTATTAGTGACAGCTCGGTAAACAAACCTAAATCAATCAATCTTCCATCTGTTTCAACGGCAGTCCTTGAGCATCCGTCAATGTACAATGTATGCCAGAGGTACATGTAGTTGTCCGGAACTTCAGGAATCACATGTAGAAACAATAATAGCCATACATTGGAAGATCGAACGTGGTCGCAACTGTGCGTTCAACATCACAACCCAACAAGTAGCCAAATTCTATGCACAAAAGTTGATGAAACAGTGGTCTCCTCAAACGTACTCTCAGTGTTTCCTGCTCTGGAAGACGCAGAGAGGGAGACACGTGGAGTACGCGTATGTGGTGACGGTGTGGGCACTTTAGTGACTAAATGCAGCTGTCTGAAAAAAGGTCAACGCCTGTAAAGGGGATGACAGCGAGGTCAAGAAACCAAACACACTGAACGCTGGACTAATCCTGGACCCCTGTGCTGTTCCCATAATGCTGTAAGGCATTCGCGTGACGCTCACTCCCCTATCACCCATACACAGAATAACACATTGCAGTGGAGTAAATAGTCTCGGTAACAATGACCCAAAACAGAGTATTATGTCCCCAGAATATCCTCCAGACATTGCAAATGGCATCGAAACGTTATGCGGTGACGTTCCCATATGTAAGGGTGGATGTGTCACAAGACTTGGAGCGTGTCTTTCGATTGGGCAACCAGACCCAAACTCAGTATTACCTCCCAAAAGCGATGACTGATAATTGTTGTCTCTTCTGCTAGCGTTATTGCGGCAACGCATAATTATGACCTTGTCTGAAGGAGTACCCCTACACATATGCTTTACTACTCTGTGGAGAGTGGCGTGTGTATCCGGTTCTGCTGTTCAACGCATGAGAAGAGATTGACGATGCTAATATCAGCCACTCCCTACCTCTCCAGAGCCCCGTGAGTTGGCAGAAGAGTATCTGAGTTCTAGTGTAATTAGGAGAGCACCTTCAATTAACTTGCGCACAGTAATCGCAGGTCAATTATCCCTCCCAGCTACAACGATGCAGACGCTTGCACGGGATGTATTGTTGTTTTTATCCAGAGATCGCAAGAATAGAGTCTCCAGTCTGCCCCCGCCATGAGCCTAACACCCACATATCCTAACTCTACGTAGATGTGTGCATAATTTAAACACGCGGTGCCTGGGGGTAACTCTCAGGTTCACGTCACCACAGGCACTAGTGTAAAAACAATCCGGAAGACGAAGAAACTCTGTGCAAGTCCAACAAGCGGCCAGAGTTGATAAACACGCACACATTACTACATCTATGTCAGCTTTCTGAGGATTTGAACAGCGACCAGCACCTGATGCCGACGCTAATACTGTAGGCCATGTTGAATATGCGCGAGACGATTCGCCACAAGGATAACCCCATGGCTTGGGCCAGTGTCGCAGGACCGGACGCCAGGGCTATAAACTAAGAGCACGTCATTTCCATCGGGTGTCACATAACTGATCAGGCGAGAAACAGATGCCAGCATGGTCGACTACTGAGTCAAACAGTGTCACTTTGGACAAAGGGAAGGCGACCCTTATCCTCCCAAACCTTACCATTCGGATTGAATACAGAAGGTCCACTTGGCAATTTCTACCCTTCAGGCGAAAACAATTTTCTGTTCACAAGTTTGACTCTAGGGTAGGTGTGTATTCACAATGCACTAGCCAATTAGTAGTCGTTCTGCACCATTGACGAGAGTGCGGCGGAGCGCCACACGAACTGCAGCTTGTGTCAGTGCACCAGGCACTTCGAGTTTCCCAGCATCTCGCAGAGACAAGACTTAGTGCAGATTCTATATCCCATTAACGAATTGTCGCCTGCGTCAAAAACCATCTCAACTCTCTTGGGTTTTCAAAATAGGAGTGCTACACCGTGTGGTCTTCAAACTGTGCGACGTTAAATACACTTCTACAACAACAACTCATAATGTCAGACACAACCTATTAACTGGAAGTCGATTTCCCTATCACGATTAGGTTGACCTTTTTTGTCCGCATGGCAGCACAAAACTAATCTTATTGACAGGAAACGTACCATTACTCGCTGTCAGGAAAAATATAGGGCTGCATTCCGACAATAGGTGTTACGACTGTACATATGATACATCATTACTAGATACAAGCAGTTCAAACCAATATAGAAATTGCTCAGTATTCTAAATGGACATCATTTCGAACGCCATCATCACATTTACCATAGTACCCTTTCGGTACATCAGGAATTGATCTGTGGTTGACACGCGCCAATTGGATTCGTGCAATGTTCATAGAAACAGTATCTTTACAAGTCAACAAATACGATACACTGATCTACGGAGTTTCAAATAATGGTTTAGATTTTGGCCTCAACACGTTGTTCCATTTCATCGCAGATAGGAATTTTGAACCCAATGGTAATGCAAAGTGTCCACACAATGTGCTAGACATCATAATTGTGCATAGAGGTCGGTCTTACCTTCTTCATGAGTCCAGCCTTTCGCTTGCTAAACGTTGTGTAGCGTTTCAACTTGTTCTGAATGAACTCCATCTTTATTCGGACTCGACCGCGTGTCTTCTTCTCGTCATCGTCATACCACTGGGACGAGGTGGCTGCGCGGCTTTCCCTTCGCTCCGATGACGAGTCATTACTGTCCGCATCATCCTCTTCGCCCTGTCCTCCGTGTCGTTGCTCTCCGGTTGCAGTGGTCGTGCTGACATTAGTCATAGGTAGCTGGTGTGGACGATGAGGAGGAACAAGGACACCAGGATGACCTGAGGAACGTCCATAGCGCTGCTGACTGTCATCCCTGGGCTGCTGCTGCTGCTGGCGCTGTTGGTGGCGATGGTGGTCCATTACTGAAGCGTCTGCTGGAAGACTGGGCAGGAGATCGCCTATTGGGTGCGCCGTCGATGGAACCTGGCTAGTCTGCTCGCTGGCCGAGCCCGCCGTCACTGTGGTCTTGTCCACCATTTGTCGAACTCTTAAGCCGCTGATGGTGGGTGTACACTGGACATCCGGAGCGTTGTGGGGAGCTGAATGTGAAGTAGTTGGCCACTCCTGATCTCTTCGTTTCAGCCCAGGAAAGGTCTAAAGATACAGAGCAGACCACAAGAAGATTAAAGCAAGCGCACAACCGGGTGTCCTACTGAAACAAGCCCTGACAAACAAAGATGCGACATGAAGATAATAAACCCAGACGCGGGGGGAAATAGCAATTTGTTTTCTCTGGTGTAAGCCAGCAAATGTGTGTCGAGACGCGATCAGGAATAGGCACGCGCGCATTCCGTCCGCCACTCTCAAGCTAGCTCTATGGACTGCGGTCCAGCGTCAGGGCACGCTATCCATGGACATTGTGAGCAGATGGTCGTAGGTAATTCACATTTTGCCCACTGGACACGTGCATGTTTAACACTAGGATAGGGTGAAGAACTTTATTCTTGACAGTGTGACTTCCGCTGGGCCCGAGCGCCCTGGCCGGCATCATCCACGCGACGGAAATGTATGTGCATGAAGCGATCTAACACCTTTATACAAACGAAACGCAGTTGCACGCATGGCAGAGAACCTGGCACTGTGTTTTGTTAGCAGAATGCATGTGGCAATGGCTGCACGATTAGCGCCTCGTCCATATCTAAAACGCCAATTGCAAGTGAGAACAACAGCATGCAGAAACACACCGACCATGCATATATACTGTACATACCTGTCTGGCATTCCACATAGGTGGTGTGGCACGGTCAGCCTCTGGTCGTGCCCAGTAGCTACTGCTGTTACTATCGTCCTCGGTGCTTACGCCTGTTGCGTGGTGGTGATGGTGGTGATGATGATGTTCGTCTCCCTCAGGTACAACGGGTCCTGCCATGTCTGGCATGATGCATCGCCTAACTCCACACTAAACAACTCACTGAAAATATCTGCTCGGTGGGAAATTCAGCCGTGGAAGACGCTTAGCACATTTGCCTTGTTTACTACCAATTAACACCCGGTGGAGACCTTTTATACCCTCGTCGACTTCAATAACTTCGTGGCGAACTTGCTCGCATCGCCTCGTCGTCCCTGGCCTTGTAGAGCTTGTCCCGACACGCTTCTCATAAATCAGTGCAGTGTGTTCAACTAACTTACACACGCGACTCTCTTCCAGATTCCTTTGCTCGACATAGACAAACATAGTGTGCCTCGTGGTGGCTTTGCATCATGTCAGAGCCAGTTCACAATTGGGTTCAAGTGCGATACGAGTGGCTTGTGCCAGCGAGCCACCAACATCGGCACAGAGTGAGCGTCATCCTGGTCTGGTTTCTACATGCTGCCTCACCAGAGCTAGCCGCGCACAGTTCAGAGCTGCACCGTCTTTCTCGTAATGACACTCACAAACAGGATGATACGGGCACTTGCAAGGCTGTAGATGGATATAAATTGTTGTATGAATGAAGTTGCACTCAAACCGATCCGGAGCAGATCAGCATGCCAAGAGTACTGTACCTCGATCATGTCTGCAATAGCAACGCTTCAACTTCCGAATCCAACCATCATGCACGTTGAACTGGGAACTCCCGAAACGATCTCCGCCCCTCAGAGGAATAGTGAAATTGTGCCTGGAAGGTATGGCATTCTGCATTCGCTCTGCACTCACGGTCAAACAAACTCGACCAAGTAATGCACTGCAGCCCCACGCATCTGGACGGAACCGAAATAGAAGCATTTGAGTCGACAATTGGTTGCTTGGTGCGTTCACGGTGTGACGCAGGCTCATGTGGAAACACACTTGAAAAGAGTTTAACCCCGGTTCACAATGCCTAGTAGGTCTGGAATATAGCACAATGTCCTTACAAATTATGTTCTGTTCTCGTTGTGCCTCTCGGGATTCCAATGTAGGCACACAAGAACAAGGTTTTGGCCATCAGCACTCTCCAAGAAGCGGCTAAGGTTTCTGAAATCCTTACAGTTAGCGTATTAGTTATGACTCCGGGAAATTTGTATTGTGTTGTTTGAAATATTCCCGCCCTGAATCAAGTGGAAACAGCAGTAGTATAGTAGTAGTAGAATTTCTTATTTTACTAGGGAACTCCCAACAGCCGTTGCCTTTCTTACTTGGGAACCCTAGGAATGACTTGGTGCTCGTGACAAATGCAGCCATGGGCTTAGCTTGACGGCATCCAGGTGGAAGCATGTTCCATCTGTCTGCTGCCAAAACTGAAATAGCATTCAGGCTGTGACGAGACGTAATTCTGGGTAGGTTCAGTGCGGCTGAAGCTTGACCGCGGGTAGCAGCATTTGTGCGGCATGATGCCGAGCGGGGTCAACCCTAGACCTTGGGCTCATTTGAATCTAAAACTGACTTCAACACCACCTCAGGACGCGGTCAGATGTCCACTGGAAATTTGCGCTGGGCCAAACGGAACAAATTTGACGTATCTGCTTCTGGCAAGATGCCTGGAGGACGATGAAGTTCAAGGAATTTCCCAGGTCTCCGAAACTGGGCTTTGACGACCGAGTTGGGAACCCACTTTAATGAGCGAAATGAACATGTGGCATATCGGCATCGTCTGTGAATGAAGGAAAGGTACCTCCAGGTTTTCGGGAGGCACCATACCATTGTTGGTGACTTCAGTGCATTGTGGCAGCACTTACACAATGATACAATGTACCTCCGGTTGTCAGATTCGCTCATAGCCTACATGTAGGTGCATATACCCATCCTTCGGCGTTGACGCATCGAATTTGGGACCTAACTTTGCCATAATTATTCACTCCAAGGTTCATGCCAGTCGCTCAACCATCCTTGTTGTCAGAAGAGAAAGGATGTGATTGGGGAAGATTTTCCTCATTTGCATAGATCTCAGGGAGGGGAAGGGGACATGGAAGATCGACTGAGCCATTCGATCATTCATCTGTCATATGATTAATATGGTATGTCCCTCCCACTCTCTCTCTCTCTCTCTCTCACACTCTCTCACTCTCTCTCTCTCTCTCTCTCCCTCTCTCTTTCTCTCTATCTCTCTCTCTCTCTCTCTCTCTCTCTCTCTCTCTCTCTCTCTCTCTCTCTAGTACATGTCAAACTCATTTCCACCAGCGTGACGCTACTGAAAACTGACATGCTCTCTGATTATCCACGTTTAATGTCTAAACGTACAGCTCCAGTCGTTCAAAACTGACAAAAGATGTCATGTACATTGTACCGGTATTCACAAGTACATTTAGCACAGCAACTGGCCAGGCTCTATTGAGCCACTGTGATTTTTAAGTAGCCACTCTCTGCTAGAAAAAGACTTCCACAAGTTATGTTCTCAGCTTCTTCCTCTATAATAGACCCAGATAGGAGATTCACATGACCATAGGCATAGATCGGCCGAGGGATACACTGTATAGCGTATACATGTAGGATGTGCATGTAATGTATGCGCGCTCATGCATTGCTATTCTAACAGCATGAAACAGTCCTCAACTACTAGTATACTAACAAGAGTCATCGGCAAATACAGCAAAATGGAATCTCTCCAGCACAATGAATGCACATGTACCGTAAAGTACCGCCAGAGCGCCCCGTCTCGCCAGAGCGCCCCACCTTGATTTTACAGCCAGGGAAAGGAAAATCGTATGGCACAGTTCCACGAAGTAACTTAGTTTGTACGGTGTGAGAACCATAGTGTACGGCTAACGTCACACTAAGCAGGTTTCTGTATGGAGCTCGTGTCCGCTCGAAGATACGGATCGTCTCCACAACGTGCAATATATGTTCAAAGTTTGTGTCGTATGACCTACAGACAGGAGACCACCTCCACAATACGACCGCGAAAGGACGAGATGGTGGGGCGCTCTGGCGGTACTTTACGGTACATGTACTTGAAGGTTGATGCAGGGCTGTAGACCTACATCTATCTAGAACATTGCTCATGTTCCACAGGGGTACCCCTGTTAGCATAGATTATGTACAAACAGCTACTTCGATCTAAGAAAAGAACAGTGGAACGCACTGGGCAAACGCATCATCCATGTCTCAGATTCCGAGATTCCAATAGCTTTAGAAAATCTTTTCATCAGCATGCAAATAATACATGTACATGTACATTGTATACTTTCCGGGTTACTCAGCCACTAACAACTAACTGTTACTTCAAGTGTTTACAGATAGTAGGTTGGAGGTTTTCGAGAGTGTCTCGAGTACCCACTACCCAATGCCTTATTGCCTAGAGTAGAGGGGCACCAATATCGTTTACTCTCTGGTCCTTAGGTTTGGAAAGGTGCTGGATGAATTCGATCTTTTCTCCTGTACAAAATGTACATGCCACTGACTTCACTCTTCTAGCAGTGTGACCTACAGCTTTCACATGTATTGTGTCTCAGCAGTGTGGATTGTTTGGCGCCCGACGAGCTACATGCACATGTACATGTACAACCGACAGTCATCCTGCGATGACCATATAATTACCGATTCGAATGGTTAATGGAGTAAACACCTCAACACGCCGATTGGATGTCGTGGCATACAATCACGGAGGCTCGAGGGCGGCCCTGGCACTCAATACAGTCAGAGGTCCTGTCCTGGGTGAGACGTTCTGCAGGTGCGCAGCGCCTTATTATAGTCATGTGACGTCATGTCTGCATTCGTTTCATTCATAGGAGAACATAAACACAACATTGGTTTGTGTTATGTGTACATTGTCATTGTACATTGCAACATTACTGCGACATTGCGACGTAATGGAGCTTAGTATGCTTCATCAGAACACATTGCTGGGCACTTGGGAAGAAGTTAGCCTCCACGCTGATGCTAAAATTGGAACTCAACGAACGCACGTGGGTAGATCCATGCTAACACAGCGCTCATCAGCGTATTCCAGTACATCAGTATACATGTCCATGTACATGTACGTATGAGGCGACGGTTTCAAAATAACGTTAGGACATACATGTACATGTACATGTAGGTCGCAAACCGGAACGGTCTCAATATTCACTTTCTCTCTTGGTATTTTGATTAGAAAACGTATGTCACAGTGAGACTACGATGTGTTTTACTCAGCGCCAAAATGCCATGGCTCTGCGATGACCAGAAGCGCCATACCAAGCATTTGAGTTTTTGACGTGTTGCTTCCCACTGCGACTTGAGTTTTACGACTTTCGAAAAATCAACTACTTGTCGCAGGTAAACAGCGGCTCGCCTCTCGCCAATAAAGCACCGCACACCGATCAAACCTAATGGAAGCACACACAAGGCTTATTGTTACTCTGTACTGGCCGTCGTGGAGCGATAACAATAATAATTAATAATTATTACTTAATTTCAGACCCAGAGTGAGTTTGACGTGCACTCTAACACCTCTGATTTGAAGAGAAAAATTGGGCAACTTGGAGGCAATGGGTCAACACATAGGAGTGGCTCAGTTCGATTGACTCTGGCCCCAGAGCAAACTTCAACATGCCAGTTTCCTTCCACAAACATATTTCAAGTGAACAATCAACGCTGATGATCGGTTTGGGTCGATACAAATTTGGCTGTCAAGCCGGTCCGGTATCGAACCATCGCCTCTACAGCTGAGCAGCTTTGCAGACGACACCACACTCTACAGCTTAGTACAGCCAACTGACGATCTCCAACAGTCCACCGCCTCCCTCCAAGGGTCCCTCAACAGTCTTGAGGAGTGGGGCCGCAAGTGGCGTATCTGTTTTGAGCCAGCCAAGACACAGCGCATGACTCTACATCGCAAGCACGTTCCCCCCTGCACTCCACCAGTCACCTTTGGAGGTGAAGTACTCCAGGAGACAGATACCCTGAAGCTGCTGGGAGTCATGCTCGACCCTACTCTCTCCTACAGAGCGCACACTCGCAGTGTTGCACTGCGCGCCTCCCAAAGGCTGGGTTTCCTACGAAAGGCAGCACCCATCCTGGACGACCATGGTCGAGTGACGGTCTACAAGGGATTCGTGCGACCCCTACTTGAATATGCCCCACTGGCCTGGTCGAGCGCAGCCGCAACTAACATGGCCCAGCTGGACAAGGTTCAGCAACGTGCCCTGCATTTCCTGGGACCTGGAACCATCCTCCAAAGTCTTCAGCTTCGTCGGATGGTGGCAGCCCTGTCATACTTGTTCAAGCTGCACTACATTCCAGGGCCTCCCCAGGCAAAGGCCATGCTGCCACCAACCAAGCCCCCTGCCGTAGCTAGCATGTGCACACGGCAAACACGTCAGACGCACCATGCCTTTCAGCTGAAGTGGACACCCCCTCGCACAGCCCCTGACTACCTCCTGCGATCCTTCCCCTTCTTCGCCATCACACCCTGGAACAACCTGCCTGCGGACCTCCTGCTTCACGAGCCTCATTCAAGACGCCTCCAAACCTTCAAGGTCAACGTATGTAAGGATCTAATCCGAAAGAGATGGCTGTGGTCCACACAGTACCTGTGACGATGATATTGAGATTTGAGACCCATTTAGTATTTACCTCTCTACTACTACTCGCTTGTTATGATTATTGTCCTCTTTCTTCATTTTCCCTTCTGGTTTAGTCATTACACGTATTAATTTATATTATTTGGTGCAATACTAGCGCCCCTTTCTCGCACGAAATTATTATTTTTGCTACCGGACCATGCAACCCCCCCCCCCTTTTTTTCGATGCCAGGTTGCAACGCTAACGCCGAGACCCCTGGTCGGTCGAGTTGCTCCCTGTACATCGGCACGTCGTCCCTACATCCCCTGTGTCTTGTCTTGTGTTTGTCTCCACATGTCTCTTTGTAGGGCTGTGTTCCCAATAAAAAAATTAAAAAAAAATTAAAAAAAAATGTACATGTAGTGGTGGTGGTATCTGAAATGCTGCTG